CTTTTTTTCTAGAAAAAAAGGGGTCAGAAAGGGTTCAAAATGTTTCTAAACTTCTTGATCTTGGTTGAAACTGAAAAAAACAAAAATTCAAACAGAGAAAAATAAGGTGGTATTGAATGTCAGACTCTTCCCCTGTAATCTGAGAAACTAAAAAAAAAAACATAGAATAATAAGAATTGAATCTAAATTCTTTTTTTTTTTTTTTGCGATTGAGGCAGCGCTGGAGAGATGTCCCATTCCATGTTGCATTCATGGAGTGTGGAAACTCCAAATACTTAGTGAATGCCATCTCTGCAGAATTGATTTGCTTTTTTTGGCAACATCCTGTGAAAAATATTATGTTAAACACATTTACACTGGAGCTGTCACTAATCATCACTCCAGAGTGCGTTAATAAATATAAAAGTAAACAGCCATTGTATAATCCGCAAAACTTTCCCCTGACCACGAAGCAAATCCTATATCCAGAAAAATGGTGTCTGCACTGAGTGGTTCGAGAGGCACTATTACTCAGGTAAGTTTAATTTCTTTAAAAACTACTTTGTTACAGTCCTAAATGATGCATTGAAGATTAAAACCTTTAAAAGGCGTTAAAAGGGAAATACGCTCCTAGCTATGTATTATGTGGTGGAACCTTGACATGAAGAAAAATGTAACATTAATTTCTAAACAGAAGTACAATTAGTTGAGACTTTGGTCATTGCAAATGAATGCATTAGCATAATTTGCTGCCAGACAGGGCAGCTGTAGCTGATTTCATGAACAGGTATTAGTTATAGGTTAGCCACAGCAGGCTACATGCTGATGATGATTAGTGACAATTCCAGTGTAAATGTCTTTAACATAATATTTTTCACATGATTTTGCCAAAAAGGCAAATAAATGCCGCAGAGAATGTGTCCACTAAGTAGATGGAGTTCCCACAGTCCATGAATGCAACATAGATAGAGACATTTCTCTACCGCTGCTGCAAGCTGTCAATTATGTTTCCCCGCCCACTCCCTTCAGATTGGGGTCAAAATCTGAATGTAAAAAAAAAACTGATTTGAATGTGTAAAAAAAATCTTGAAACTGAAAAAGGAATTTGAAAAAAAAAAAAAAAAATGAAGGTAATGGATTTGAATCTGAAAATATATAACATCTAAAACTGCAATAAAGAAAAGAAATCAAAAAAGTGTAATTAAAATACTAATCTGAATTTAGATTCAATTCTAATTATTTCATGTTCGCCTTTTTAATTTGTCACATTATAAGGTAAAAATTTCACATTAAATATAAACTTCTATTTTTCTGTTTCCCCTTTTATTTTTTCTGTTTCAACTAAGATTTACAAGTTTACAAATATTTTGACCCCTTTCTGACTTCATACTTAACAGTAATAATACATTGAATAGTAATTAGCGATTTTTAACTCTTCAAATATCAAATCAGGTGATGTAATTTGAGTTTTATTGAAAGGTACGTTCCATTTACAACTGTCAAAATCTTTTTATCACTCATCTACTTTTTTTTTTTATATCCCTAATTTTATTACAGGAAGGAAATTAATCTGATGTTAACACAACAAGCATAGCATTTGTTTGATAAAGGGAGCCATTCACAGTAGAATGATGCATTTTACCCATCGATGTACATCATCATAATTTCATGGTAGATATATAAAACAATTTTTAAACATGGCAATTTTCTCTGGTTGCATAATCATTACATATTTGACATTTCATCAACTTTAAAACACCAGAGGGTGACAAAAAGCTAAAACCACAACTTTAGATTTAGATCAAAAATGCTGATAAGATTTTATTTAAGATATATAGAAAATAAAATACTTCAAAAGGTAAGATGAAAATAAAAATGGTAAAAGGAAAATAACAGTTTAGTACGGAAAGTCTTATTTTGATAGATTATTACGCTTTATAAAGGATACAGATTGACTCTGACAAATTTAGTTTCATTTGAAAAATTCTATTTAAATGAAAAATAAATGATATAATTTTGTATATTGAAATAAGTTTCTAATTCCACTTTTGTGCAAAAGCATTAGTTTATGAAATGAAATCTGTTTTTCAATTATTAGAAAAAGCCTTTTCCTTTTACTCTTTTTTATAGTTTATCTTTTTTTATAAATGGTATACATATAAAAATCTATATATCCTTACCCTCTCTCAACTTTTTTCTTATAAAGACAATATAAATCTTGCTTTGAAAAGAATGTAAAGTTATCTGCAAAAATGTATTTACTAAATGTAGTTTAAAATAAAAAGTCTATTTTCCTTACCGCAAACAAGATATTAAAGGAGACGAAAATAGCCTTTAGACAACTGTTAATTTTCCCCATATTTTCTTTTTCCGTTGACAACAGAGTAGAAACAGAGAGATGTAGTTTAAGTGAGCTGCTGCACCCTGTACTGGCAACCACACCAAAGAGGGAAGCAACACAGAGAACCAATCAGCAGCCAGTCTGTGAAACCTTTAGATGATCATCAAGTAGTTTTCAAATAAAGCCCATTACATGGGGAAAAAAATACACAAGACTAGCAAAATATTAAAATAAAAACTGCAGAAGCGTTGCTGCAGAAAGGAGATCAAGCAGAATTAAACTAGTTGAAATTCATACTGTTTTAATCACATGACCAAACACAAAATGAATATAAAGATACTTAAAGGCAAAACTAAAACCTAAAAGCAGTTATTGAATGTGATGCCAGCACACAAGTGAGAGAAATGGAAATAAAACTAAAAGAAGCTAAGGAAACAACCATCTCCACAAGAAAAGGAGGTCTATTGGTGAAGCATATTTCATTAACAAGAAAATTCAAAGTTCAGTACATGAACAAAACAGAAAAAGAAGACAGAGAGAAATACATTGCCATTTCCTTATTGAGACAGCTTAAAAAGAAAGGCTGAACAAAAAATTTTAACCAATGTTTTAACAGTTTTAACAATCAAAGGCATCTCAGTAATGTAGATTTTAAACTTGAAATCAACTTAAGCCCGGCATACACTATGTGATTTTCGGGGCGATTTTCCAGTCATGTGAGAATCTTTCGATCGGGCCGACTTTCAGTTTGATTGTGCGTCATGAGTCGTGTAGTGGACAGGGGGATACGAGCAGCGATCAGCCTCTCACGACAACCTCCCGATCAGGAAACGTGAGGTCGGGAGAAAATCAAACATGTTTGATTTCCTCCCGACCGTCGTAGGTAAGTCGCGCAGGGCGCATGAGCAAAGAAAAATTCTTCTTTTTATTCTTCCTCTCAGATGTAAACACAGAAGCATGGCGGGAATGCAATGAGTGAAATGCAGTTCCATCTGCAAAATTGACGGACCGCAGCAGCCACGCCTGCTCAACCACGTCCTTTTTCCAAATACGTTGTTGCCCTTTCTTTTTAGGACTGTCAGCACAAAATAGCAAAAATTGACATAGCAGCACGGTTCACTATATTGAGCTTAATATCCCTCTTCCATTTGTTTGGCTTCAGGATAGAGAGGTACAGAGCAGCTCCATCTCACTGCGGAGCTCAGTCCTACGTTGTTTTAGTCGTAGAGTGTGAGCAGGTAGATCGCATAGAAGCATCTGGCCGAAAATAAATCGTGAGCTAAGAGCTCACACTGTACGACTAAACCCTGTGTTTGGTAATACAATGTGAGCTGTAGAAGAGTACAACGATTGAAAAAAATCGCACAGTGTACTCCCGGCTTTAGGTTTCAGCAATTTCACAGACAGGACACTTTAAAGGTATTGTGGAGGATTTTCACATTTTTTCTTAAAAGACCCGCCCTTTCCAATTTACAAAAGAAAATGCACATGCACAACCCTGTACCTGCTCCCAAGAGGAAAAGCCTACTAAACACATGCAAGAGCGTGCATGAGCCCATTTCTCCTTGTGCGCGCTCTGTTTAAAAGTTGCTGTTCCCGTAGCTCATACAAGCTTACTGTGTCTGAATGTCCGCCCTAACCCCTAAATCCCTCAATCACTACAGACTATATAGTGGAGTTTATAGTGAACTCAGTTAATTAACCGTTCGGACAGATGATCACTGCTTTTTGCTCCCGTTGGTCACGTAACTCCTCCTCCACTGCGCAGTGCCTGCGCCATCTGTGTTGGCAGGTTGCGACAGCTTCAATGACTGTCTGAAACCGTAGCTCACCACAGATACACGCCTGAAAGTGTGCATGCACAGAAAAAGATAGCTAAGGCCCCATCCACACGAAGTCAAAACGAAAACGAAATGCTAATATTTTTCAGAACGTTTGTCGTAAAGACGGAGACGTAAAAT